TATTTTCTTCCTCCAAAGAGGCTTACCATATCTGACTTTAGGCTGATTACCTTCATTCACTCAGGGACTAAGCCCACTTAACATTAGGTACAGTTTTTGTGAAGTTAGGCCTACTGTTGGCTGTAGCTCTCCAGGAATCCTCCCTGAGAGACTAGGTTATATAATAGTGCCTCTTCTCCTTGGTCCCCGATTTTTGCCTATTAAGTGCTGGAGACTGTCAAAAACTGCTCTTCTGCTGAATATTTACATTAGGTAGATACACTCCTTGAAGAGATCAATCATGGGAGAATAGAATGGGTGTGTATGCACAGGGAGACAGCTGGGGGTGGGGCACGAGTGCATGGGAGAGGAGGATACAGGGATGAAGTGGCCTGTGGGGAGAAAGTGGGAGGGGAGCTGTTGCATTGTGGGAGATTACAGTCAATGTCATGAGACAAAGTGTATGTGAACTGCTGTATGAAAGATGAATTTGCTTTGTAAACTTTCACCCAAATCACAATAATTAAAAAAAAAAAAAAAAAAAAAACCTTGCTCTTCTGTCTAGGAATTTTCTGCTTATTTTCTTAACTTCTTGCCATAGGCAAATGCCTCAAAGGGAAAACCTATAAGTATCAGACTCAGTTCTTTAAGAATCCCTTTTCCCTGGGACCTTGGTCCCTCAAATCCAGGCTGTCTTGGCAGCTTCAAGTTTCTATTTTTGTCTCTCTAGCTTTGTACAATTTCTAATGGCTCTGTAGGCCTTTCACCCTCTTAGCTGCAGCCTTCTGGAGAATTTCTCATCTCCTAATTATCCACCATGAACTGGCAAAGGGCCCAAGAAAAGAAAGATGGCTTGCCAAAAAGCAGCTTATTTGTACAGTTTCTTTCTTTCCAGGATATTGGCCCGTCAAATGCTGGTTGCTCACCATCGGTCTTAATTTTTTTAAACTGATGTGTGTGTGTGCGCGTGTGTGTATACAGGTGTTTAATCTGTCTTTTCTAGTTATTCTCTGTGGAAACCTTGTTTTACCAGAAGCTGCTCTATCCTAGCTAGAAGCAGAAGTCCCTTCTTTTTTTTTTAAAAAAAAATATCAACCTCAGGTCCTTTTCAGAAGGCAGATTTCCAGAATAGGAAGTTAAATATATAGGAACTTTTCACTGGGTATTGATACATATTGTCAAGTTAGTTTTTTTTTTTTTTTTTTTACCAATTTACCTTCTTAAAGTGGTGTATGAAATCTCTCTCACCATTACTATCAGCAGCATTTGTTTTTTTAATCTACCTCAGGTACATGTTCAACTCTTATGCCTGTCTTTTCTTTGCCACAGGTGTGGGTTCAATTCCAGACCTGAAGGGCAGGTAGGGACCATAGTCTCAGTGGTTCCACTAGGCTCTATCAGACCAGCACACCTGGTATCCTTTTTTTTCCCCCCAAATGATTTTGAGTTTTGTTCCATGTTGTTCTCCCTCTCTATCCACTCTGAGTGGTTGACAGTGGTAGCTAGGCACCATCTAGTTCTTCTGGTCTCATGGTCATATAGGCTGAGGATCGCATGGTGTACCAGTCACAAGGACTAATTGTTTCCATGAATCTTTGGTTTTCTTCATTCTTCTTTGCTCTGAATGAGGAGAGACCCATCGTTGCATCTAGATGGCTGCTTGCAAGTTTTTAAGATCCCGGTCGCTACTCACCAAAGTAGGAGGTGGAACAATGTTTTGTGTAGTATGTTATGCCAATTGAGCTTGATGTCTCATGTGACTATGGTCCCGCGCCCACAGGTTCAACTACTCAGTCCTTCTGGGTAGCTGGCTGTGGCCAAGAAGTGACTACAACCTTGTCCCTTGTCAGCTGTACTATACCCCTGGGAGTTCTTACAGAACATACAACTACACTTGTAGAACCATTGTCTGCCAACCCTATACCTGGTCTTGGGTACACTTCCTGCTGCATAGACATACCTAATAGTTCAGCCTGTCCACCCATCTATCCATCCGTATACCCATGTTTGCCTTCACTGACAACGCAGTGCTGTATGTGCAAAAGAGTTCATCTTTGTTGTCTGCACCTCCTGTATACCTCTCTCTATGTCTTCTTCTTCCTCAATATCAGCAGCATTTGTGTATCTTTGAAAAATCTTGGCAAGTATGCAGAGGTGTAAAGTTGTATCTAATGGTTGAAAGGAGTTTTACTTTGACTATAAACCAATAGGTCACATACTTCTTTCTTTTCTGAGTTTGCAGAATTATCTGTGACCTCATTTCTTCAGCTACTGTCTCACTGACTTTCCATAGAAATGAATCAGAAAAACCAATTCAGAGTCATTGCTGGCATCAGTATTTCAAGTGAAAAGGGTAGGACAGGAACTCAGATGCCTCACTCACTACACAGATTTTGAGTGACTGAGCTATATACAGCTGCACTTTCCAATATGGTAGCCACTAGCCACATGTAGCAATTGAAATGTGGCTGGTCCAAACTGAGATGTGCTCTGAATGTAAAAAACAAATCAGTTTTCAAAGGGTTAATGTGAAAAGAAAGTTAAATATTTCATTAGTAATTTTTATATTGATTACATATTGAAATAATATTTTCAATATATTGGGTTAAGTAAAATACTATTAATTTCAACTGATTGTTTTTACTTTTATTAATGTGGTTACTAAACCAAACCCACTGCCATAGAGTTGATTCTGACTCATAGCGACCCCCATTGGGTTTCCAAGGCAATAAATCTTTACAGAAGTAGATTGCTCCATCTTCCTTCTGTGGAGTGGCTGGTGAGTTTGAACCACCAACCTTCTGGTTAATAGTCAAATGCCTTAGGCACTGCACCATCAGAGCTCCTTATATGGCTACTAGATAAATTAAAATTACAATGGCTTAAATTTATTTCTATTGAACAGTTTACTCTATAGTCTTACAGCATTATTCTTATCCTCTCTCTACTTCTTTCTTTCTTTAATATCTGTCCTCCCCCCTTTCTTCCTTCAGTGTCTGTCCTCCTCCATTTTCTTCAGAGAAGCTTCCTGAATCTTTTCTTTGAGGTACTGAAGACTTTATCGAATTGCAAGATAGGATCTTGCAACAGATTCCCATAAAGAATCTCTGGGGAATTGACCCTGAGATTCTACCTGAGAACTAAACCTCTCTGAGAGCAGATCTGAGGGGGAGTGGTGTGTGTGTGTGTGTATGTGTGTGTGTGTGCACGTGTGCCCTTCTAGCCCCTTGACTCCCTTAGGGGGTCCTTGTTTGCCAATATGCTCTAGACCCTCCTGCCTTTGTGGCAACCCTGCACCCACACATCTTTTTTCCTTCATTTTCCTTTTTGGCTCCATCTGTTATTCTCATGTAGGCCTTGTTTTTTGGCTACCTCCATTGACTTGTTTCTTTCATTGTTTCCTCCAGCTTCAGTCCTCATTGTTCCAAACCACGGGGAGAGGCCCACCTACTCCTAGAGCGGACCAGCTCCCAGAAGCCTGGTCCTGGCCTAACCTTAGTCCTCTATTTGCTTGGAAAGAAAGATCAGACTCTCTTCACCAGCAGGACCCACACTATATAAGGTAAAGAAAGTTAAAGGACTTTTTTCAGGACAAGGAGATGTCTAGTTCTCTTTGGTGTTTCTGGTAACCCACGTTTTCCCTCCCACTCTATCCAGGATCTCCAGATTTGATCCTTTCCTGAGTGGTTGGCATTGGTAGCCAGCCACCATCTAGTTCTTCCGGTCTCAAGGGCCATC